ATGATTAATTACAGAACTATGACTTCAAATGGCAAAATCCACTTGTCAGACATTTGGCACTTGTGGAGAAGGGTGATCCAAACTGGCTGATTATAAAGCTAAAAGCATGATCGGTATTTATAAACCTTTCACTGGAAACTTGAGATGTATTATTTGGATTAAATCAGACCATGTGTAACCTTAAACTTATGGCTGTGGAACTGCAAAGAATTGCTTGGCTTGGAAACCTTTGTTGGGAATCTATTAATTATAGTCTCATCACTTGAAGAAGCTATACTGAATTAGGAAATAGGCATGGTGTGATTATACGGAAATTGGAAACAAATTGCTGTATTCCTCATGTTTTGTTTGCCTCTGACTTCAAGCTTTCAATTTTAAAATAGCTGTTATCTTCTGTGTGTTTGGCATTGAGTTCATGCATCCTGAAGAACTCATGAATCATGATCATAAAATTGAAAAGAGGATCTTTGAACAAAGAAGGACATTTAGCTGGAATTAGATTAATTTGGACCGTGCTTGTCAAATCTTATATGGCTAAATGGTTACAGAGGTAATCCTCGACTTACAACCAGTGGTTTAGTGACTATTTGAGGTTACAATGGCACTGAAAAAAAATGACTTACAACTGGTTCTCACACTTCCAGCTCTCCCCATAGTCATGAGATCAAAATTCAGGTGCTTGGCAACTGGTATATCTTTACAATGGTTGTGGCGCCCAGGGTCAGCTTGACTTTCTCAGCTGGCTTCCGACGAGCAACGTTAATGGGATAAGCCAGATTTGCTTGATGACCTTGTGATTCATTTAACAACTGAAGTTTCTGCTTAATAGAGATGGCAAAAAGGCTCATAAAATTGCGTGCAACTCATTTAATAACTGCCTTTCTTAACAGCGGAAATTCTGGTCTTAGTGATGGTTGAGAGTTAAGGATTCGCTCATCTAGTGACTGTTCCAAGTTGGAACAGCACTGAAGAAAGTGAGTTATGACCCCTTTTCACACTTAGGACCGTTGCAGCATCCCCGTGGTCACATGATCAAAATTCAGAGTATTGGCAACTGACTCATATTTATGATGGTTGCAGTGTGTCCCAGGGTCACGTGATCACCTATTGTGACCTTCTGACGGGCAAAGTCAATGGGGAAAGCCAGATTCACTTAACAACCATGTTACTACCTTAACAATTGCAGTGATTCACTTAACAACTGTGGCAAGAAAGGTCATAAATTGGGGCAAACCTCAGGTAAGAACTGTCTCACTTAACAACAGAAATGTTGGGCTCAGTTGTGGTCCTAAGTCGAGGACTACCTGTAGTTTGGTTTTACCGAAGACCGTAAAGTCTGGCATGTCTGCTAAGCTTCATTCCAGACTAGCTCCATTGGAATTCTTGTTGTTGTTGTTAATTGTGAAGTCATGTCCGACCCATCGCGAGCCCATGGACAACGTTCCTCCAGGTCTTCCTGTCCTCTACCATCTTCTGGAGTCCATTTAAGTTCACACCTACTGCTTCAGTGACTCCATCCAGCCATCTCATTCTCTGTCATCCCCTTCTTCTATTGCCCTCAATCTTTCCCAGCATTAGGCCCTTCTCCAATGAGTCCTTCCTTCTCATTATGTGGCCAAAGTATGTGAGTTTCAACTTCAGGATCTGGCCTTCTAAAGAGCAGTCAGGGTTGATCTCTTCTAGAACTGACCGGTTTGAACGCCTTGCAGTCCAAGGGACTCGCAGGAGTCTTCTCCAGCACCATAGTTCAAAGGCCTCAATTCTTTGGCGCTCAGCCTTTCTTATGGTCCAATTTTCACAGCCATACATTGCAACTGGGAAAACCATGGCCTGGACCATACACACTTTTGTTGGCAGGGTGATGTCTCTGCTTTTTAGTATGCTGTCTAGATTTGCCATAGCTTTCCTCCCCAGGAGCAAGCGTCTTTTAATTTCTTGACTGCAGTCCCCATCTGAGGTGATCTTGGAGCCCAGAAAAATAAAATCTGTCACTACCTCCATTTCTTCCCCATCTATTTGCCAGGATTGAGAGGGCCGGATGCCATGATTTTGGTTTTCTTAATGTTGAGTTTCAAGCCAACTTTTGCACTCTCCTTCTTCACCCGCATCAAGAGACTCTTTAGTTCCTCTTCACTTTCTGCCATTAGAGTGGTATCATCTGCATATCTTAGGTTGTTGATATTTCTCCCGGCAATCTTAATTCCAACTTTTGTTTCATCTAGCCCTGCTTTTCTCATGATGTACTCTGCATATAAGTTAAATAGGCAGGGTGACAGTATACAGCCTTGCCGGACTCCTTTTCCAATTTTGAACCAATCAGTGGTTCCGTGTCCAGTTCTCACTGTTGCTTCTTGACCCACATATAGGTTCTGCTATAGGTTCTGCTGGAGTTCTTCTAGAGTTTAACTTTTATTCCTATACGGTGATTCCAACAATAACTATTCCTGCTATTAACAGGAAATGCTGGAAGTGGCACAAGGGCAACTGTGGTTGGTAGCAAGTGCAACTATGGTCTGTACTTTCTGCATCTTATTAAAAAGTGTGACGTGAAAGCCTCAGTCAACCAGAGCCATAATGAGTGAGGGAGATCAATATTTATGGGCCCATCTGGTGATGACACATATGGAAAAGTGCAAATTGGAATGTGAGAGGAGTAAAGTAGTATTTTTTTTAAAAAAAGAAAAGAAATGAAGGAAACAGAAATAGGCATGTTCTGTAGTTATAAAATTCATTAAAAAAGGAAAAAAATGGAATAGAACTCTATGTGGTCTGTTCTTGTGGCTTGGGAGTTGTTGCAATGCATGCATTAGAATTCACTAATGATTGAAAGAACTACAACATATGTATGAAATAATGAACTGGGACAGCTAGGATGCTGTTGGTGAATATGGGGATCATAGAATCATGTATGGGATCTTGGAGGTCTTCTAATCCAAGCCCCTGCCCAAGCCATCTTGGACAAATAGTTGCCCAATGTTTTCTTGAAAACTTACATTAATGGAGCATCCACAACTTTGGGAGGCAAGCTCTTCCAACGCTTAATAGTTCTTACTGTCAAGAACTATTTCCAGGTTGGATCCCTCTCTGACAAACTTCCACCCATTGCTTCTTATGCTACTAAATCGACACTATTTTCAAGTATCAGAAGACCACTATCATATCTCCCCACAGTGGCTTGTCCTGTCAGCACTGATGGGAGCATTCTTGCTAGTTGTGGATTAGTTATGGTTATATAAACAGAGAGTAAACCTCATTCCCTTCTAAGCACTGATGATGTTACCTAGTTGGGTAATGAAATGCCTGCAAGAAAACCATCAAGTTCAGAGAGCACCAAGGACCCCACAGTTCAACCCTGAGTTACAAATATCCTTTGGTACAGAAAAAAATGTTTGGGCTATTCAGAAAAAAAAAGAAAGAAAAATAAGAATAGTAACTGGTTCACATCCATAGCTGTCTGATTTAAACAATGCTGATGTGAAAATGAGAACATGTGTTGCTTTGCATGTGAAAAAGGGAAGATGCACAGAGGATGAGACAAGAAATAGGGTATGGATTTGTACAGGAAGTTGATGTATCCAGAGTAGACCTCCGTTGGTTCATGGCTCTTTCCATCATTTCCCATTCCATACAGCAGCCTTCAGCTTTACATGACCAACGAGTTTCAGGCTATGAACCAATTCTATAATGGACTAAATACCTCAGGCCTAGTTTGATTTGGATGGCTCAGCGGTTAAAGACACTGAGCTTGTCAGCTGGTAAGCTGACAGCCTGGGTTCGAGATCCAAGAACCTCATAATGGGATGAGCTCCTATTTACTTGCTCCAGCTCCTGCCCACCTAGCAGCTCAAAAACCATGCAAATGTAAGTAGATTAATAGGCACCACTTTGGTGGGAAGGTGCACCTTTGGTGTATAGCTACTGTATACTGGCCACAAGACTATGGAAAATGTCTTTGGACAATACTGGCTCCCTCAGACGTGCACCGTCTCCTAGAGTTGGACATGATTGGACAGGGGAAACATTTACCCTTTATTCCTCCTCTATCTTTTCTTCCCTTTTGGGTCAATTTTGGTTTTTTTTGGGGGGGGGGTGTTAAACATAAATGCTTCATGGAGTTCTCTTTGTAACAACTTTGCAATGGAGGGAAACTAATCAAGGAGAGAAGCAACCTAGAACGAAGGAGAAATTTTCTGACAGAACAATTGATCAGTGGAATGACTTCCTTCCAGAAGTTGCGGGTGCTCCAACACCGGAGGTTTTTAAGAAAAGATTGGACAGCCATTTGTCTGAAATGGTATTGGGTTTCCTGCCTGAGCAGGGGGTTGGGCTAGAACAGAAGTCCCCAACCTTGGCCATTTTATGACTTGTGGACTTCAACTCCCATGCTGAGGAATTCTGGGAGTTGAAGTCCACAAGTCATAAAGTGGCCAAGGTTGGGGCCCCCTGGACAAGAACATCTCCAAGGTCCCTTCCTACTCTGTTATTCTGCTTTTAGAGCAGTGGTTCTCAACCTGTGGGTCGGGGCCTCATTTGGGGTCGAACGACCATTTCACGGGGGTCGCCAAACAACACAGTCCGCCATTTCCCCCCCCTTTTCCTTAGCTGTGCTACTCCCTTTTAGATTCTTGAATAGCGTCTAATTCTATTGGCTTTCAAATTCAAATAGGAATTGTCCAGGCTGTCTCTGCCCTGCTGAGCCCGCCAAAAGTCCCATTCTGCAAAAGGTGCTGCACCAGTTGAGTAGTCCTCGACTTACGACCCGTTGAGTAGTCCTTGACTTATGACCGGTTGGGGGTTGCGGCATTAAAAAGGTTGAGAACCACTGTTTTAGATGCAGCTTCCATTGGCCAGAGTTAAAGCTTTAAAAATGTAGCTTTTCTTTCCTGACAAGGCTGAATTAGAAAGACAGAGGTGGAATAATGAGCCAAGAGAGGGGAGAGAGGGATATAGTCAACCAGAAAAAAAAAAAGTAAAATGCATGTTCATTTAAGGAATATTACCTCCAGGGTCTGCAAAAGCCTCGGTCTGAGGTTTTCATTTCCTTGTTTACAGAGAGGATTCAGTCTAGGAGTTTGCAGGCCATAAGTAATCCCCTGCAAAGAGAAACACATGTGGTCTCTCTCTCTCTCTCTCTCTCTCTCTTGCTCAGCTTTTCAACAAATCTCCACTGAAACCAGTTACGCCTTGTTGTTCGGAGGAGAGAAAGAGAAATCAAGGGAGAGAAAGGGAAAAGAGAAAGCATTTTGCTCAGCTAAGTTCCCTACTACATTAATCTCATTATCTCTTGAACCGTTTAACTCGCAGTGCCCAATGCAATTTGTATTCTGCAGCCAAGCCAACGCTCCAAACCGATTAGCCTAAAACGAACCATGGCAATTCTTGATATTGTCGGTCCTGAAAGGCTGTCTTTCCTGCTGAATGGGGTTCCCATATGCCTTTTGGAGCTTTTCACGACACAATGTTGCCATCCCCCCCCCATTTTTTTTTGCAAGTGCTAAATTAAGCGTGCGAAAGGCTTCGCAAAGCCCTCATTTTCCAGTTAATCAAATCTCCCCCTAATCAAATTAGCACACATAATTCCTCTGGATGCAAGGAAGAAAGGGAGGAAATATTACCCTCTCTCCATCTTTGGGGATGAAAGGAGGAACACAGCAGGATCCTTTCCCCTCTGCTTGAGTGCGTCTAAATAGGAGACCTTCTCCAGAAAGACAGGCCTGAGGTAAACTTTGGCAGTGTTTGCGATTCCCAGCTCATTAAATTGGCTGCTTTTGCTGCCCACCTCCAGGGATCACCGAAGCGTTGGGTAATGAGATACTTGTTTAATTTTCTTTCAAAGGCTGGACATCTGTGACAAACCCACCACCCATTTTTCCAATCCCACACAAGCACAACCTATCAATAGGCTTTTGGCCGCTCTTGGGTTTGATGGAGTGTTTTCCTTTGAATAAACCAGATAATAAATTTTGAAGAGAAGGGAACAATTGCCATTAACTCGGTCCGCTCTCCGAAAAGTCGAAGTCCATCATGAAAATTCAATAGCAGGCTGAGCTAAATGGATAAATGTTCGCAGTCAACCTTTTTTAATTGATTTCCCTTCATGAAATGATCTAGGTTTTTTTTTTTTTCTGAAGCAAACTATTCCTGGAGGCTCCCTCCCTACTTTTAACCTTGCTTTTCATTCCAAATACTTGGAGGAGTGCTGAATTAAATGAAATAACTGAAATATTAATCTCAATCAAAAACCGAGGCCTACCACCCAACAGAAGCAGAGTGCTCTAGGCTGGTGTTTCTCAACCTTGCTGATTTGAAGATGTGTGGACTTCAATTCCCAGCATGGCTGGCTGGGGAATTCTGGGAATTGAAGTCCAAGATTGAGAAACACTGCTCTAGGCTAAACCCCTGCATTGAGCTCACTTATGACAACAGAGGGCAGATTGTATGGGTATTTCTGGTGGCAGGAGATGTTTTCTCTATCTCCAGCCCTACCACATAACCAGGTTTCCAGATCAATGCCCAGGAATATCAGCAAGCCATAAAAGGTGCTTTTCATGTCCTTCAGCCTAGCACTGCATTGAAAACCAGCCATTCTATCCTGACACCACTTAAAAAAAAAATGCCAGCGCCTTTCCCAACATAATAGAAATTCAACCCAGATATTGTTATGTCTCTTTTGCTCAGTCACTTTTACTTAAGTTGTAATGAGCCCTGAAACAAGCATAATGAAAGCTGTCTCAACAATATTTTCACTTTAACGCTTTATTATGTCTTTGAATATGTTTTAAGGAGTAAAAAATTCACTACTGGCGATGTGTCTCTCCCTATCGTCCTTATTGCCTGGAATTGTTGAGCATGTGCATTTACTGCTAAAAATGGTCTTTGGCTTTTCTTTCTTCTTTTGGCAAATATTCTCATTTACTTTGATGGAACAGAAATTGCTTTCATTTTTTCCTCCCAAAGAAGAACATCTTGGTAAAATTCTCATGAGTGACATATTGGCTTCTTGCACTTACCTCCCCATTTATGAGGTGTTTCAGAAACTGTATGAATCTTCACATCACCCATTGTACAATAATCTTTCCAAAAGCCTTCGCCCACCACCACTTGCATTAAATTATACACACACATACACACAAACACAAATTCCTTCCAACTAGTTTTTTTTTTAAAAAGTCTGGAAATGAAGGCAGCTCAGAAAGCTATAGAGTGGAAGAGAATAGGACAATAGCATGCTGACTAAGGAATTCTGGGAGATGAAGTCCACAAATCACAAAGTTGCCAAGCTTTAAACCCTTTTACCAACTATCCTACAGAAGGATCTGTATATATGTAATTCTAGAATTGACAGTCTGCTAAAATGTCATGGTTTTCCCCCCCATTTGTTTACATTTCTGCTTTCTGTTTTCATTTTTCCTTTTCAAATTCATGGGTACAGTATATATGGATTCCAAAGGGACAGTACTTGAAAGGGACTCTTCTTCATATATTACAGGCAGTCCTTGATTTACAACCATTCATTAGTGACAGTTCAAAATTACAATTGCATTGAAAAAGGTGATTTATGACCCCTTTTCACACTTACGATCTCTGTAGCATCCCTGAAGTCATATGATCAAAGTTTGGGTGCTTGGCAACTAACAGGTATCAATTGTCCTAAAGTGTCCCAGGGTCATGTGACCCTCTTTTGTGACTTTCTGACCAGCAAAATCAATGAGGATGCCAGATTCACTTAACAACCATATTATCAACAGCTGCAGTAATTCACTTAACAATTGTGGTAGGAAAGGTCATAAAATGGGGCAAAATTCACCTAACAACTGTCTTGCTTAGCAACAGAAACTTTGGGGCTCATTTGTCAAAAGTCAAGGACTACCTGTATCAGGAAATCAGAGCCCTTTTGCACTGGGTTGCATAATCATGGACATTTAGTCTTGGATTTCTGCTACCTGCTTGGAAAAGGAAAAACACCTATATGAGTCCATGAATACTGCATCCAGTTTTGGTTGCCATGATGTAAAAAAGATGTTGAGACTCTAGAACAGTGTTTCTCAACCTTGGCAACTTTACGATGTGTGGACTTCAACTCCCAAAATTCTCCAGCTAGCTGGGAGTTGAAGTCCACACATCGTAAAGTTGCCAAGGTTGAGAAACACTGCGCTAGAAAGAGTACAGAGAAGATCAACAAAGGTGATTAGGGAACTGGAGGATAAAACATATAAGGAATGGTTGCTGGAATTGGGTATGTATAGTTTAATGAAGAGAAGGACGAGAGGGAACATGATAGCAGCGTTCCAATATCTCAGGGGCCACAAAGAACAGGGAATCGAGCTATTTTCCAAGGCACCTGAAGGCAGGACAAGAAGCAACGGATGGAAACTAACCAAAGAGAGAAGCAACCTAGAACTAAGGAGAAATTTCCTGGCAGTTAGAACAATTAATCAGTAGAACAACTTGTCTCAGAAATTGTGGGTACTCTGTCATTGAAGCTTTTTAGAAAGAGATTGGGCAACTCTTTGCCTGAAATGGTATAGGGTCTCCTACTTGAGCAGGAGGGTGGACTAGATAGAAGACCTTCAATGTCATCTTCCTACTCTGTTGCTCTGTTATTCTATTATGTAAAATAGTGATGGATGGATAGATGGATAAAAAAGGAAGGAAGAAAAGAAAGAAAGAAAGAAAGAAAGAAAGAAAGAAAAGAAAGAAGGAAAAGTCATGTTCAAATGCCTAATGACTGCACAAGGCTATCTCTTTAAAAAATGGTTCCCATGGACAAGGGCTTTGCTTGTATCTCAGCTGCTGACCTTGCTAATACAGTATGTAGATCCTTTGCCAGCTAATCAGCAGACTGAAAAGCAAAGCTTCCAGCTGTGGGCAACGATCTGTGGCAAGAATGAATGAGTGGATTTTAGCAGCCAGGGTCTGGAGCTGACTATCTGTAGCTAACAGCTGTCACCTTCCAGGCAGAGGCCAAGCTGGCCTTGCTGCTTGAAAACCAGCATGGCCGATCAAATTACTTTGTATGGAAGGACCAAGTGCATGGTGCCCACATAGGCATGGGAGGGAGGAGTGGAAAGTAAATTTATAAATAGAGTATCTGCTTAAGCACAGGGAGCCTCTGGAAGGCAACTGATGAATAAACATCCATCCACACACTTCCTGTCGGTTGAGCTAAGCAATCCAAAGCAGATCTATACATGTTCCCCTATCGAAACAATTAAAAAGCACAAAAAAAGTAAATGCCAAGAGCACCGAAAGGTTATATTGTATTAGCAACTTTGTTGTTTGTAACCCACAGTTCAGAAAAGATCTATGTTCTTTTGGCAATGGTTCTTATTTCAAAGGCATTTGTAACAGGTGCTGTTTTATTGCCAAACCATAGCTGATACTTTCATTCTGGTCATTCCAGGAAAAAACAAATAAAAGAAAGAGAGGGAGGGAGGGAGGGAGAGAGAGAGAGAGAGAGAGAGAGAGAGAGAGAGAGAGAGAGAGAGAGAGAGAGAGAGAGAGAGAATATTATTAAATATTTGAAAAACACTTGGCCAATAGTAAATAAATAAAATAATGACAGCTGTCAAGTGAAAGCAGTTTCTCTTTAAATTAGTGTTTCCCAACCTTCGCAACTTTAAGATATGTGGACTTCAACTTCTGGAATTCCCTATCGAGCATTGCAGGGGGAAAGTGTCAATGGAGAAAGAAACAAAAAACAAATAAGGAAAATTAAATGTAGGTACAGGAAGTAAGTAATTAAACAAATGAACAAATACATGAGTAATTTTTAAAAAATAACCAGGAATGCAGGTTGTAATCCTGCATGTGAATTACAGTGAAGTTAAGAGTTATAAGGCAGAGTTTGCTCACAGAAAAGATGGATTTCTTCAACAATCATAAAATATCCATACCCCAGAATGCAATATAAAAAATATAAAAGAAATGTAACTTGCCAAGAATTGTATTCAGGATGCAAGAAGTCTGAATCACAGCAGGCCAGGTTAAAATAAGCTCTGTCCCCATCTAGCTAAAGCAGGGGTCTTCAAACCTGGCCCTTTTATGACTTGTGGACTTCAATTCCCAGAATTCCTCAGCCAGGCATACTGCA